AGATGCATGCTGCTGTTCTTGAGGTTAGATGCTGGGGTGCACAGATGCGTCCTGCTGCTCTTAAGGTTAGAGCCTGGGGTGCACAGATGCATGCTGCTGCTCTTGAGGTTAGATGCTGGGGTGCACAGATGCATGCTGCTGCTCTTGAGGTTAGATGCTGGGGTGCACAGATGCATGCTGCCGTCCTCAAGGTTAGATGCTGGGGTGCACAGATGCAAGCTGCCGTCCTCGAGGTTAGATGCTGGGGTGCACAGATGCATGCTGCCGTCCTCGAGGTTAGATGCTGGGGTGCACAGATGCAAGCTGCCGTCCTCGAGGGTAGATGCTGGGGTGCACAGATGCATGCTGCCATCCTCGAGGTTAGGTGCTGGGGGGCACAGATGCGAGCTGCCGTCCTCGAGGTTAGATGCTGGGGTGCACAGATGCATGCTGCCGTCCTCGAGGTTAGATGCTGGCGTGCACAGATGTATGCTGCCGTCCTCGAGGTTAGATGCTGGGGTGCACAGATGCATGCTGCCATCCTCGAGGTTAGATGCTGGGGTGCACAGATGAGAGCTGCCATCCTCGAGGTTAGATGCTGGGGTGCACAGATGAGAGCTGCCGTCCTCGAGGTTAGATGCTGGGGTGCACAGATGCATGCTGCCATCCTCGAGGTTAGATGCTGGGGTGCACAGATGCATGCTGCCGTCCTCGAGGTTAGATGCTGGGGTGCACAGATGCGATCTGCCATCCTCGAGGTTAGATGCTGGGGTGCACAGATGTGATCTGCCGTCCTCGAGGTTAGATGCTGGGGTGCACAGATGCGAGCTGCCGTCCTCGAGGTTAGATGCTGGGGTACACAGATGCAAGCTGCCGTCCTAGAGGTTAGATGCTGGGGTGCACAGATGTGATCTGCCGTCCTCGAGGTTAGATGCTGGGGTGCACAGATGCGTGCTGCCATCCTTAGGTGTCTCATTGCTTCCCAGGAGAAACAGAAACATACACGAAGAGTCATGGGCTGTGCATTTGAGTGAAGGTGCTATTTGGGAGAACGGAGTAGGTGGCCAAACTGTTCAGAAAGGTACAGGAAAGCCCATTTAGAGACGATTGCATCTGACCTCTATAGATGAAGAAGACAAAAGATGGATTAAGCTACCAGGAGTGAAACTTCTGTTCTACAGCAAGCGACCCAGAGGAAAAGCATCCTGGGTGGACGCCAGCAGGGAGGGCCAGGGTTCCGGGCTTGCTCCCGTGCTCCCTGCCAGCCCCACTGTCTTGGCTTTTGTCTTCTTGATTGGTGTTCCAACTACCAGGTTCATTTTCAAGGCAGGGAGGTGGGGGTGCTGGGTGTGTTGGTGTCCTGTGACTCCTGTGATGAATTCACAAATGGGGAGGTTCCCAGCAGCAGACGCCTGTTCCCTCACAGTTCTGGACACCCAAGTCAAAGATCAGTGTCGCTGAACCTGCATCACCATGTGGGTAGGACTGTGCTCATTCTGGAGAAAAAAAATCCACCCTTCGTTGCTTCAGCCTTTCTTGGCTGACAGCTGCATCGCTGACATCTCTGCCAGTTTCTGCATCTCCCTCTCTTCTGTCTGGGCGTGTGCACGCACGTGCATGCACGTGTGGTGTGGTATGTGTGTGTGTGCTTGTGTGTCTTTCTCTCACAAGCATACTTGTGATGGCATTCAGAACCCACCTGAATAATCGCCCCACTGTAAGATCTTTAAATCCACCAAGAGTTCTTTACTTCCAAATAGGGTAACGTTTACAGATTGCAGGGTTTAGGACCTAATATTTGGGGGCCCATTATCAGCCTGCCACAAAGAGACTTCCATCAATTTTATCCTTTTTAAAAATCACATGTTCCCCAATAACTGCAAGGTGAAAAGGAACAAAATTGTGTTAGCCAAGCAACGAGGGGTATCCGATGCGGTTTCATAGCGAGAGGTGGGGAAGGAGAACTAAAGGAATAAGGCTGGAGAGAGAAGGCTTTCCAGAGGAGAAGCAGAAGAGCACAGGCACTGAAGTGGAAAGGTTTCTGGTTCGGAGGGCTATAGTGGAGAGAGACAGTGAAAACGCATCTCATTCACGGAGATGAGGACGGAAAAGCAGTTTTGTGTGCAGATTGTGCAGGGACCGGAATTTCATATTAAGAGGCAAGCTTTTATTTTGCAGAATGGATGCCATCGAAACCTTTTGGCAACATTTTTGCCATTTTATTTTTTTCACACGGATTTTAATTTTGCTTAGATTGCCTTGAGTGGGTAAATGTGGTCTTCTAAGAGCTCACAGGTTCTTTTGGAATAGGTTCCAATCTTTTCCCCTATGACGTTTAGCTGACTGCCAGCTTCACACATGCTCTGTGGTCCTGCAGAATTACTGACACAATCGTCATTTCTGGAGTCTTTGTTCTGTGCGTCTCGTGTTTTCTGCTTATTGTGCCTCACTTTTTCTTCTACTCCCAATCCTGGTTCTATAATTTTTGAGCAACTAATCTTTGTGTACTGAGTTGCAATTATTAATTCCTTGTGTTATTTTCTTTTTACTGAGATAAATGTCAAGTAACATAAAATCCATCATTTTAAAGTGTACATTTCAGTGACATTTAGTACCTTCACCATATTGTACGATAGTCACGTCTACGTAATTCCAGAACATTTTCAGCGCCTCAAAAGGAAGCTCAGTATCATTAACCAGTCACTCTTCATTCGTCCTTCCCCTGGCCCTGGCAGCCTCTAATGTACTTTCTGTCTCTATGGATTTACCTATTCCAGGTACTTCCTATTCATGGATTTGTATAATATGTGAACTTTTGTTTCTGTTTATTTTACTTGGCACATTGTCTCATTGTATTTTCATCATACATAATGTTAGAAATTCTGCTTTAGCTGTGGGTATTTCCCATGCCATGATCCACATGTTCTTCTCTGATGGGTGTTTGATGAGTATTTAGCATCGTGTGCCTTGGTCCACGTGTTCTTCTATGATGGGTATCTGCTGGGTGTTTAGCATCCCATGCCTTGGTCCACGAGTTCTTCTTTGATGGGTATTTAGCATCCTGTGCCTTGGTCCACGTGTTTTTCTTTGATGGGTATTTAGCATCCTGTGCCTTGGTCCACGTGTTCTTCTGTGATGGGTATCTGCTGGGTATTTAGCATCCCGTGCCTTGGTCCACGTGTTCTTCTTTGATGGGTATTTAGCATCCCGTGCCTTGGTCCACGTGTTCTTTGATGGGTATTTAGCATCCTGTGCCTTGGTCCACGTGTTCTTCTTTGTTGGATATCTGCTGGGTATTTAGCATCTGGTGCCTTGGTCCACGTGTTCTTCTTTGATGGGTATTTAGCCTACCATGCCTTGGTCCACGTGTTCTTCTTTGATGGGTATCTGCTGGGTATTTAGCATCCCGTGCCTTGATCCACGTGTTCTTCTTTGATGGGTATTTGAAGGCTATTTAGCATCCTGTGCCTTGATCCACATGTTCTTCTTTGATGGGTATTTCATTAGTATTTAGTATTCCGTGCCTTGGTCCACGTGTTCTTCTTTGATGGGTATCTGCTGGGTATTTAGCATCTGGTGCCTTGGTCTATGTGTTCTTCTTTGATGGGTGTCTGATGGGTATTTAGCATGCCATGCCTTGGTCCACATGTTCTTCTTTGATGTCTGTCCCCCAGGCCCACACCACAATTTCAGGTAATCTTGTCTACTTGCTTTCATCAGGGAAGTCTGTCCGTCCTGCTACCGTAGAAGACCTGAAGAAACTTCGGTATCTGGAATGTGTTATTAAGGAGACCCTTCGCCTTTTTCCTTCTGTTCCCTTATTTGCCCGTACTCTTAGTGAAGATTGTGAAGTGGGTAAGTATGCTATACCTAAAGTAGAAGGGAGAGGGAAATTCTTTAATGTCTGTCCTGTTCCCGTCTCATGATGTATTGACTACTTCTTGACAGCAGGCTACAGAGTTCTGAAAGGCACGGAAGCTGTCATTATTCCATATGCCTTGCACAGAGATCCGAGATACTTCCCCAATCCCGAGGAGTTCCAGCCCGAGCGGTTCTTCCCTGAGAATGCCCAAGGGCGCCACCCATACGCCTATGTGCCCTTCTCTGCTGGACCCAGGAACTGTATAGGTTTGTATGCATCTGAATTGTTTGACCTTTCAGGCCCACATGTTGATAGCAGGTTTCTCACAGAGATTCCTTTGAGACGTGCTGTGACATTGCCCGTAGGCAACAGCCTTAACAAAATAGCTGGTTTCTTTTTTCCCTCACTTACTGTGCTTTGCAATTTTAAAATATCATTGTCAAAAGGTATATTTGTATATTAGCCTGCCTGGGCTTCCATAGCAAAATAACACAGACTGGGTGGCTTAAACAGCAGAAATTTATTTCTCACAGTTCTGGGGGCTGGAAGTATGAGATCAAGGTGCTGGCAGGGCTGCTTCTCCTGAGGCCCGTCTCCGTGGCTGGGAGATGCATTCTTCTCCCATGTCTTCACTCGGTCTTTTCTCTGTGTGGGCTGTGTCCTGATCTCAGGTCAGACTGCACTAAGGCCCACCCCAGTGACTTACTCGTACTTAATGACTTTTTTAAATGACCTGTCTCCAAATACAGTCATATTCTAAGGTATGGGGGGTTAGGACTTCAACATATGAATTTGGAGAGAGACACAATTACCCATAACATAAAACATAACCAGTTTCATGGCAGAGTTCTGAAATGCTGTTGATTTTTAATTACAGTAGAATATAATTTATTGTAGTAAAAACTTCATGTGATGACTTACGGCTCACCTAATTTTTGTGTTTATTGCGTTTAAGAATTTCATTTTGCAAGTCAAAACAGAAAATGCTGCCATATGGCCAGCTGACGTATTTAAGCAAGATGAATGCCCGTCGTCGCCCTGCATTTTAAACCGTTTGGTTTTAGCATCTCTAGCATTTTATTTATGTAAATGCAGACATTAGTAAAGTGAGGTCAGATTGAAATGGGTGAATCTGAAGCTTTTTTGGTGGATCCATAGTAGATTAAAGACACTAAGACATAACCTAGAGTAGTGAGGCTCAAGCTTGAATGAGCTCAGGATTTATCTGGATCAGTTGGAGTACAAATCCCCCGGCCCTCCCCAGCTATTGAGATGTGCAAGGTGGGAGCAGGGAGGGACCCTCACGACTCTTCATTTTTAACAAGTGTCCCAAGTCATTCTGACTCTCCTTCTGCCTACTGTGAAAATATGCAATGGCTTGCTTCCTGTGATAGAACCCCTCGTTTCTCGTATTTGGGATAAGTCTGTAACCAAAGTGATGATATTTACATTAATTTGAAGGTCAAAAGTTTGCTATGATGGAAGAAAAGACCATTCTTTCACGCATCCTGAGGCACTTTTGGATAGAATCCAACCAGAAAAGAGAAGAACTTGGTCTAGAAGGACAGTTGATTCTTCGTCCAAGTAATGGCATCTGGATAAAGCTGAAGACGAGGAATGCAGACGAAGCCTAACTATGTCATTGGGTTGTGCCTTTATCATGACAAAGGTCTTTCTTTTAAGAGATCCTTGGTATTTACAATTTACAGATCGTGAGTTCAATATGCTTGAATCCCCTAGACCTAATTTTTGCTTGTCTCCAGTGATCTTGACATCAAGTCTAACAAAGAACTTTGAGTTTTGTATTTTCCTGTTTTTGAGACTGAGGCTTGCTCTGTCGCCCAGGCTGGAGTGCAGTGGCGCCATCTTGGCTCATTGCAACCTCTGTCTCCCTGGTTCAAGCGATTCTCCTGCCTCAGCTTCCCAAGTAGCTGGGACTACAGGTGCCCACCAGCACACCCAGCTAATTTTTTTGAATTTTTAGTAGAAACAAGGTTTCACCATGTTGGCCAGACTGGTCTCAAACTCCTGACCTCAGGTGATCCACCCACTTCAGCCTCCCAAAGTTCTGAGATTACAGGCATGAGGCACCATGCCCAGAATAACTTTAGAATTTTTTAACAGTATTCAGGTTGACTCGGGAACACACACACACAATATAATTTGAAAAGAGTGAGTAACTAAGTATTCTGACTCAGGCTTTTAGGTTGTAAAATTATATTAGTGGCATCAGTTATGACAAGAATGATTATAGTACTTCTCAGATTTTATAACACAGAGCAGATTATTTACAAGTCGATTCATAGGTTCTATACAGTTTCTCGTTTGATTGTGCACGTATAGTCTTTAATTCCTCATAGAATCACAATCACGTTTATGTAACATTGTTGGAAGAGATTCATCTTCAGAATCTCCAATTTTTCACAGTGCCTCACAGGGTTAATCATGCCTTTTGGAGTTATAAGGGCCTTAGAACTTATCTACTTATGCTCCTTTATATTATAGTAAGGGGATGGAATTAATAAGAAAGTAAGTTTCTGCCCAAAGCCATGTTGCCAGTTGGTGACAGAGCTGGAAATACATAGAGATCTATCCTCTAAATCCCCCCACTCACATACCGATATGCCTCTACGGTATGCTGCAGCTTTGGGAAACTCAGGGTGATGATCACATGTGTCATTAGAGCATGCGTCTTCTGCTTCTGATTTAGGCATCGTTCTGGGATTCTTCCTTCTTTAAAGGAAGAAGGAAGCCATTCGTCTATATTTAGTAACCCAGTAGTATCTTACTTAGCTTAGGGTTAGACCTTTAGTTATTTCAACCCTACGGTTCATACTTATCAAGCTGATAACTGACACATATTCCCTGAATTTTAATTTGATAGACAATACACCTGCCTACTCCATGATTTCTTCATTTAATAATTTAAACAAGATTGGTTTAGTTTTGTTTTCAATTTTTATTCATCACAGAATCACAGTTACCTTTATATGTCATATATTATTGGCAGAGACTCCTTGGTAATCCCAGGTCTCTCAGTGTCTCACAGGTTTGATTAATGACTTTGGAACTGGAAGGACCTTAGAACTTACGCGATTATGCTCCCAGTAGGCAATAGCAGATAGAACTGTGCAATCAA